AATATGGGCCTGAGATAGGGGCTCAGAACCTCACCTCTCAGAAACTCCCAACTCAGTGTCCCCCGGCCCACCCCAACCCCTAGCCACATGGACTCACGCAGGCAGCGGAAGGGCACAACTTGGTGGTGGGGATGGGTGCAGTGGCCGCTCCAGGCACCCCCGCACCAGTGCTCCATGGGGATGGCCTGAGTAGCCTGCTCTACACGTGCAATCTGCAGCTCCGGGTACATCTGGGGGGGATCAGGTGGGAACAATCAGCCCACTGCCCCGCCCCTGCCAGGGGGCACCCCTCTCCACTGGTCAGGTCCTTTTTTTTTTTTTTTTTTTTTTTGGAGAGGGACTTTTTGCTTTTGTCACCCAGGCTGGAGTGCAATGGTGTAATCTCGGCTCACTAAAACCTCCACCTCCCAGGTTCAAGAGATTCTCCTGCCTCAGCCTCCTGCGTAGCTGGGATTACAGGCATGCACCATCATGCCCTTGCCAGTTTTTGCATTTTTAGTAGAGATGAATTTTCTCCATGTTGGCCAGGCTGGTCTCGAACTCCTGACCTCAGGTGATCCGCCCGCCTCAGCCTCCCAAAGTGCTGCGATTACAGGAGTGAGCCAACGCGCCTGGCCAGGTCCCTTTTCAAAGCTCTAATATTCATGAGGACATCGCCTCCCTAGGCCCTGCCTCTCCATAGCGCCAGCCTTAGATATCCAAGCCCCTCGTGCCCATTGGCCACGCCCACTAGCAGTTTTCCCTTAAAAGTCCGGTCATCTTTAAGCCCTATCCCTTTTCCTGTGCTGTTTCTTCTCGAAGGTCGGTCTAAGCCCACCTCTCTGGTCACTCCTCCCCGCTGTCAGGTTCTTCTCCCCACAGGTCTCACCCTAAAAAGGGGCCCCGCCTTTTTATCTGTTCCGCGTCTCCAAAAACTCTTCCCTTTACAGAGTAGAGGCTTTTCGTGGCCACGCCTCCCAGCTCTCCGCGCTTTCATTGGGCTCCACCTCTTTCCCCATCTTGCTGGTCTTTAAGATCTTTCTCTTAGCCCCGCCTCTCCTTTCGCCACTCCCCCCTACACCTCTACTCTTTACGAAGACCACCAGATTACTAAACCCCACTTCTCTAGCCATCTCGCGGTTCTCCCGACTTTCCTGACTTAGTATCTCAAAACAGGTTCCCTGCCCTGGCGTAGCTGAGCCTCTCTGTTGGCCACGCCCCCCAGCTTCCACGCCTTAGATCGTGCCGCACCTTGGACCACGCCTTTTGCAAGTCTAGCTTTCCGTGGGCGGCCCGCTTTCCGATAGCCCAGCCCCTCCCGCTCGGCCCCGCCCACCTGTCTGCAGTACTCCAGCACGCGCTGCGGGTCCCGGAGACAGCGTCGAGAGCGCTGTGGGTCTGGTTCCCAGCGGCCGGTGCGCAGGTCCCGGTGAAGGGTTGGGCGCCCGCATAGTCCGGCAACCTGGGCCGACCCCGGGGCCTGAATGGAAGTGGAGGGGACAGTGAGGGCCCGGGGGACGTTGGCACGAGGGTCCTCTGGTTCTTTGCTCCCTAGAACCGAGACCTCCAGCACCAGCCACCTCCCCCAAGCACCGCACACCCGCCTCCATGGAGGCACCGTTCCCTGGGAAACAGCTCCCGTAGGGCGGGGGCGCCCCAGCTCTCCCGTTGCTATGGCTACCCGGGTCCTCCGGGATTCTCTCGGCCTTGTTGCCGCGGAGACAGACTCCGCCCCCACCCCAGCGCGGTCGCGCTGGAGCCCGAAGGGGTTAAACCTGAGTCGCGGAGGAGGAGGCCAGAACCCAGGCGTTCTGGCCCCTCCTCCCTCCATCCCCTGCTCAGGCTCCGGTTGCAGGGTGCAAAGCTGACAAGGCCTGGCTTCAGGGGCCTGCAGTCCTGGACACCAGGTCCTTGAGGACTGAGGAGCTACATCTGGTTGGGGTGGGCGGTGACTGGAGGACTGGACTCCTGGGTCCTGGGAGGCTGCGAGGGCCCCCATATGGGTCCAGAGGATACAAGGGGTCTGGATTTTTGGATCTAAGTGCCTTACTGCTTGGCGGGTCCTATGTCCAGGCGGGAGGGGGCCGGGGCCGAGTCACCTGGGTCTGGAGAGGGGGCTGGACTTCTGGGACCAAGGGCTCTAAATAGAGCAGCTCCTTTGCTCGGGGTGGGAGGGGGCTGGGACGTCAAATGATGGGGGAGCTGGGGCCTGGAGCCCTGGGTTCATAAATGTGTTTGGGGGCGCATGGGGGCTGACCACCTGGCTGGAAAGACCGCGCTTTCGGCCCTGGACATGTCCGCCCCGGCGTCCAGAGGCCCGGTCCCGCCCCTTCCCCCATCCCCCAGGACCCGGCCCGGCCTCACCTCGGCCGCGCCGGGGCTCCCACCGGCCAGGCTCCCGACGGCGGGCTGCGCGCGCAGAAGCAGCAGCAATAGTGGCAGCAGCAGCGGCAGCGGTAGCGGCGGCTGGCCCCGGCGGCGACCCAGACAGCGAGCAGCGGGGCTGGCGGGCCCCATGTCCCGGCCCTTGCGCCCTCACGTCCCCTGCACTCCCGCCCGGCCCGGCCCCAGCGGTGACAGGAGCTCCCAGAGCCACCGCCGCCACCTCCTCCTCCCGCCGCCCCCGGGCTGCGCCGGCGCCGCCAGCCCCGCCCCGCGCCGGCCCCGCCTTCCTGGCCAGGACAATAGCGTGGCGGCTCCGCGCAGAGTGGAACCGCTCGGGAACCCCAGGCGGGAGCCTGCGCCAGGCCCCCGCCCCTCGAGATTCCAGGCGTCCCGCCCCTTGAAGGGCTCAGCCAGGAGTCCGGCTACGGGCTCCGCCCGTTGTGAATTTTGAGCCATCTCGCAGGACTCATCCTCTTCGACCCAGATACACAGAATTAGTTTTGTCCTTCTCCAAGGATGCAAGCATCGGCGACCCTCGTACCCTAGTAAATTCCTCTGTTGAGGGCTCAGGAATATAGGTCTCCAAAATGTCCCCAATCAAGAAAGCAGCAGGGGAGGGTGAGACCCAGTCCCCTCCTCTTTCAGATCCAGGAGTCAGGGCGCTAGGTTTCTTCTCAGGACCGGAGACCAAGCCCCCAGGACATTCTCCCTCAGACCCAGGAGTTCAGTCTTCCTGCTCTGCTTCCCAAGGGTCCCAGGGGCGTGTACCTTTAACTCCTAGCTCAAGGATCCATGAACCACAGCCCCCAGGACCTTTCTTTAAGGATCACCTAAGCAGGCACCAGCATCATGCCCACTGTGGATGCAGGGCCTCAGGATTAGGGTCTGGACCTCCGCCCTTGCTGTAAGGACCAGGGGATTGTCATTTTCCTACCCATAGTCTCCCCTTCCCTGCCCCGCTTCAGGACTCACTTGTTTGCCTCCTCTAATGAGAGTGTAGTATTCTGTCTTCTCCAGGACCCCTGGGTCAGCCCTGTCACATGTGTACAACTGTGTGGACATCTGTTTGTGTGTCTGTGCATACATGCCCATGTGTATGTCTGTTTCTGTTTGCAACGTGTGTGTGTGTGTGTGTGTGTGTGTGTGTGTGTGTGTGTGAAGATGTATATTAAAAGAGCCCATGGCCAGGCACACTGGCTCTTGCCTGTAATTTCAGCACTTTGGGAGGCCTAACTGGGCCTATCCACTTGAGGTCAGGAGTTTGAGATCAGCCTGGCCAACATGGTGAAACTCCATCTCTACTAAAAATACAAAAATTAGCCAGGCGGGGTGGCGGGTGCCTGTAATCCCAGCTATTGGGAGGCTGAGACAGAAGAATCACTTGAAGCATGGGAGGTGGAAGTTGTTTTGAGGCAAGATCACACCACTGCACTCTAGCCTGGGTGACAGACTGAGACTCCGTCTCAAAAAATAATAATAATAAAATAAAAGAGCCTAGACCAGGCGTGGTGCCTGTAATCCAGCACTTTGGGAAGCTGAGATAGGCTGATCACTTGAGCTCACAAGTTCAAGACTAGCCTGGCCAATATGGTGAAACCCTGTCTCTACAAACAAATACAAAAAATAGCTGGATGTGGTGGCATGCACCTGTAGTCCCAGCTACTTGGGAGGCTGAGGTGGAAGGATGGCTTGAGCCCAGGATGCAGAGGTAGCAGTGAGCTGAGATTATGCCAGTGTACTCCAGCCTAGGTCATAGAGCCAGACCTTGTCTCAAGAAGAAAAAAAAAAGCCTAGAGTAGTTTGCAGATAGCAAGAGACTGACAGGTGGCTCACAGTTTTACTCCTACAGCCACCTCATAGGCTAGGGTAGAGCAGGGACCTTGGGACAGGTCTAATGGACCCTTCCTTGATGGAGGGTAATAATGCCAGTAGACTCCCTAAGACACATTTGCCTTTTTGATTTTTCTTTATTATTAAACATAAATATTTTTATCTAGAGATTCCCCTTTGCCCCCACAGTGATAATTCTCACCATATCCCCACTCCTTGGGTCCAAGTCTTTCTAAGTCTTTTTTTTTTGAGATGGAGTTTCAATCTTATTGCCCAGGCTGGAGTGCAATGACACAATCTTGGCTCACTGCAACCTCCACCTCCTAGGTTCAAGGATTCTCCTGCCTCAGCCTCCTGAGTAGCTGGGATTACAGGCACGCACTCTTTTCTAAGTCTTTAAGGAAAGTGGAATCAAGATGGTAGCCGTCTTTGGTTCCTAGGGAGTATATGGCCATCTTGGCTGCACTTCCATTGGCCGAGCAAACTTCCCATCAGGGAGAGCCAGGGTGGGGCCTGGTATGCTCTTCATCTTCATCTATCCTATGCTACCTTTCTTCTCAATGCAGATGGTCATCTTGAAAGATCTTCTTTCAGTGGCCAGAAACAACTCCCATCCCTGCCCCAAACTCCCAACACCTGCTGCCCTGTCCCTATCTCTAGTCAAAGGGCCTACCTGCCATCTGGAATCTCTTTTACACCAGGGAATAGGTGGGCATGTTGGGCGGCCATGTTGCTCCCACTTGGGGCATCCCCTTTGGCTGAGCTGACTATCCCCAATGCTCCTGGCAATTGTCATGATCCTTCCCTCCCCCCAGTGTTCAGTTTTAGAGGAGTAAGATTGCCAACTTGTCCTGGCTCCTCAGAAATCAGGACACTTCGTTATGGCAAGTTGGAGATCCCAGGACTCTTCCATTGCAGAGATGTCACACATGAGTCTGGAGGCGCGGGTGGCTAGGTGTGGGGAAGGCAGCATATGGGAAGTGGGGAGTCCCGGGGGCCAGATCTGGGGGTCCAAAGGATGTGGGTTTGATGTAGCTGGTGAAAGCCCGAGGGTGGGGTGTGGTGAGGTAGCCTGCCTGGGCTCTGTACAGTCTGCAGGGGGGAACTATGCCCAGGTGTGGGTTGAAGTCATAGAAGGTAGGGGTCCCTGGGGGCCGAAGGGGGGAGGTGGGTGGCAGGAAGAGGCCTCTTCCAGGGGCTTCGCCAAGACTTAGGCTCACACTGACTCCTCGGACCTTGTAGTAACCGTTAGTTGGGTCCTGAGGGGACAAATGGGACTCAGTTAGGTGTGTGAGGGTTCAGGGTGGTGGCGGGGGGAAGGGTCACTGATGGAGAGACACACTGAAATAGACCAGAACTTGAGAGAGACAAAAAGAGACAGGAGTGGGCAGAGACACACAAGGACTGGGAGAGACAGAAAGTGAGATGGAGGAACAGTGACAAGAGGCAAAGGGACAGGATATAGGCAGAGAAAGGCAGAGACGGAGGGATACAGGCCTGCCTGAGGGGGTGTCGGAGTGGAAGGTGCAGAGGGAACAGGACAGAGGCACTCGCCTGCCCGGCAGCCCCTAGGCTTTGATTCAGTGTCACACCCTGTGTTGCTGCTGTAAGACATGTCACTAGGATAGAAGTGGACCCTGTCCTCACAGAGATCCCACACCAAGGGAGAAATGACAAACCATGAGACAGCACCCAGAGGGGTCAGGGCTGTGCCTGGGAAAGGCATAGGCAGTGACAGGGGCTGTGATCGGGGTGCCCTTAGCATAGTGGGTGGGATAGGGAAGCCCAGGTCAGACTGGTCATGGCTGTGATGGGCAGAACACAGGCAGAATGATCGGGCTGTCATGACAGAATCGTGGGCTTTCTAGGGCAAGAAATGTTTGAGCTGAGACTGGTGGAATAAAGGAGGTAATTAGGTAGACACGGAAAGGAAGGTAGGAGTGTTTCGGGCTAAGAGAATGGCATGTTGGTCGGGCGTGGTGGCTCATGCCTGTGATCACAGCACTTTGGGAGGCTGAGGCAGGCGGATCATCTGACCTCAGAAGTTCGAGACCAGCCTGGCCAACATGGTAAAACCCCATCTCTACCAAAAAAAAAAAAAAAAAAAAAATTAGCCAGTTACTTGGGAGGCTGAGGCAGGAAAATGGTTTGAACCCAGGAGGCAGAGGTTGCAGTGAGCTGAGATTGTGCCACTGCACTCTAGCCTGGGCAACAGAGCAAGACTCCATCTCAAAAAAAAAAAGAGAAAAATGATGGCATGTGCTAGTTACATGGCATGTGCAGAGGAGAGAGAGGAGTGCTCTGGCCTGGAAATGGGCTAAGGTCAATGTGGCTGTCCTGAGATAGGACCCCAGAGGAAGGACAGGTTTGGGAAGATGTGGGGCCAGTGTAGGACCTGGTGGCTGAAAGGGGTTTGACAGTGATGAGGAGAGCACAGGCAGAGCGAGCCCCAGTCTGGGCTCCGGACAGAGGCTGGGGCTGGGACAGATGTGTGAGCAGAGTCCACAGATAGGCAAACTGAAGCTGGGAGCTGGGTAAGATGGCCCAGGGGGTAGGAGGAGGGGGATGAGGAGCTGGGTCCCAGTTCTGGGGGCAACAGAAGGAAAACAGAGGGGACAGGCGTGGGAGAGAGATGGAGATACAGAGGAGGGAGCCCCACCCCTCCCAACACTCACCTTGGTTTGCAGAGCCCCTTCCTCCTCCAGAACCAGATCACTGTGGTCAGTGTGCACAATGGGGCCCTGAGGTAGGGAACTTAGTGAGAGGAAATAATCAGAGGATCCCCCCACCCCAATGCCAGACTCCAAGGACCTTCGGCCAGCCAGTGGAGGCCAGGCAGGAGACAGTAAGAGCACCAGAGCTGGGGACTGCACTCAGAACAATAAAAGGGTCGTGGGAGGCTAGTGCAGTGGCTCATGCCTGTAATCCCAGCACTTTGGGAGGCCGAGGTGGGAGGATCAGTTGAGGCCAGAAGTTCGAAACCAGCTTGGTCAACATGGCAAAACCCCGTCTCTACTAAAAATGCAACAATTAGCCAGGCATCGTTACAGGTGGTGGGTGCTTGTAATTCCAGCTACTCAGGAAGCTGAGGAACAAGACTCACTTGAACTGGGAGGTGGAGGTTGCAGTGAGTCAGGATCGTACAACTGCATTCCAGCTTGGACGACAGAGCAAGACTCTGTCTCAAAAAAAAAAAAAAGGGGTTGTGGGGATATACTAGGCCTAGGGAACAACTGGGTCAGGGGAATGGACTTGGGTGACATTTGGGTTTCAGGTCATTGTTAAGACTAGAGCCCTCAGGCTGGGCATGGTGGCTCATGCCTGTAATACCAGCTCTTTGGGAGGTCGAGGTGGGTGGATCACCTGAGGTCAGAAGTTCTAGACCAGCCTGGCTAACATGGGGAAACTCCATCTCTACTAAGAATACAAAATCAGCTGGGTGTGGTGGCAGGTGCCTGTAATCCCAGCTACTTGGAAGGCTGAGGCAGGAGAATCGCTTGAACCAGGGAGGTGGAGGTTGCAGTGAGCCGAGATTGTGCCACTGCACTCCAGCCTGGGTGATAGAGGGAGACTCTGTCAAAAAACAAAAAAATAAAACGACAAAAATTCATAGAGACGGGGTCTTGCTCTGTCGCCCAGGCCGGAGTGTATGGTGCAATCATAGCTCCTTGCTGCCTCTCCAGGTCCACTTCGGTGTCCTGAGTAGCTGGGACTATAGGCGTGTGTCACCATACCCGGTTCATTTTTTATTTTATTTTGTATTTTTGTAGAGATGGAGTCCCACTATGCTGCCCAGGCCGGCTTCTAATTCCTGGCCTTAAGTGATCCTAGTGTCTCCGCCTCCCAAAATGGTATTACAGGCGTCAGCCACCACGCCCAGCCTTAGAGCCCCATTTGAGTTTGGGGACCCTTTTGGGACTGGGCTATTACTTGGGTCTGGAGGCACAGTAGTGTCTGGGGACCGTGGCATCCTACCCGGTCCTCGCCGCTGCCCGTCTCCTCTTCCTCGGGTCCTCGCGAACTGGAGCCGTCGCTGCTGCCTGGGATTCGCATCAGGTTCTTTTGCTCCGGGAAAGAGGCGGAGGCTGACGAACAGCGAGGGGCGGAGTTAGTGATGGGCGGGGTGACAGTGTGTGCAGACCAATAAGCGGGAAGAGAGAGGACTGGGAACCAACGAGGTGGATCGGGTGGGGCTGTTGGGAACCAATGAGAATCCTTCCCAGGCCGAGGAGCGTGACCCTGGGAAGGTCGAGTTAGGGCTTGAGGAGAGCTAAGCCCGGTTCCGGGGTGGAAACCTGAAGGCCACCTACAGGACTGCAGCCAGGGCCCAAGGCCAGGTCAGGTCACTGGGTGTGTGTGGGGTTAGGGTGTGTGTGGGGTTGGGGACTGAGGAGCAGGGGCGGAGCTCAGGCACTGACCCTTGCCGTGGCTCCAGCAGCAGAGGGCCACCCCAGTGATGACCATAAGGAGAGTCGTGGTGGCAGCGGCTACTCCGGCCACTATCCGCACAGTGGGTAGCAAGTCTGCAGGGAGCAGAGGGGACATCCTGAGAAGGCTGAGGGGGAACCAGGAAACGGGGGCTCAGGGATTGAGTTTGGGATCCCTGGGTTGAGAAGTTCTCACATTTGGAGAGTCAAAGACCCTTGAATTTGGGTCTTTGAATTTTGCAAGTATGTGAGTTTGAATTCTCTGGCTTTAGGGAGTCTTAGAGTTTGAGGGTCCTTTACTTTGCAATTTGCTTTGCAATCGTTGGAGGTTCCTTTTTTGGGGCCCCTCAGTGTGAGGGGTCTCTCAGTTTAGGATTCCAAATGTGAAGGCATTTGTGGTTGCGGGGTCCTGGAAATCCATGAGTCCACAGTTTCGAGACTCCCAAGGTTTGGAGGTCTCTGCATTTGAGGGTCTGAGGTTTGGCAGCCCTCGGTTGGGGGAATTCCTGTATTTGTGGGGTTTAGACTCTCCAAGTTTGGAGTCCTCAGGCTGGGGTCTCACCTCTACGGCCTAGGCTGGCCCTGGCACCTCCCTCGCCCAGTCGGTTCCGGGCACTGCAGTTAAAGCTCCTGCTAAAGTCAGACTCCTGCGTCTCCGAAATGTGTAGCACAGAGATCAGGCCCGGACCCTGTCCCTCATGGCCCTCCGGGGCAGGGAATGTCTCCACCAGGAAGCGGCCCCGAGACCCTGCCTCCAGGAAACCCTCATCCCAAGACCAGACCTGGGGGCACAAAAGAGGAAGGACACTGAGGAGACTGAGGAGTGGGGGAAGAAGGGGGAGTGATGATGTCTGGGAAGTCAGAGACGGTCACAGCAGTTTCAGGGGGCCAGGTGGGAGGTCAGGGATCACGGCTGGATGGGTCACGAGTGGAGTGACATTTCCTTACCACAGCGTCTGGGGGGGGAGAGGCGAAAACCAGACACTGGAGGCGGGCGGGGCCCCTCAGGAAGGCAGGCGCAGAGTGTAGGGCCGTCACTACTGGAGGAGCTGGGATGGATACAGTGGGTCACTCAGGAGAGGTCTTGCCCCAAAGACTATAACAAAGCCGGGCCAGGCCAAGGCACTCTCATCCAATCAGGCCACGCCGTTTCCAAACTCAGATTCCCCTAAAAGCCTCGCCTTCGTTAGGTCCAGTCTCCATGCCCCGCTTGGTATAAAGCTCTTTCCAGGCCACTCCCACTGCATTAGGCCTGGTCCCCCCCGCTCCCCCGTTCACTCCCAATCCGAGGGCCCGCCAGGTGCTCTAGGAAGCCCCGCCTTCTCACCGTTGACCGTCAGGCGAGCCTCCGCGGCGCCGCCCCCCAGGCCCGAGAGCCCAGGCTCAGCCCTGCACACATAGTCACCTGCGTCCTCGGGCCCCACCGACCGAAGGCGCAGCGTGGGTCCAGAGCCCAGCATCTGCGACAGGGAAGGTGCGTCAGAAGCCGGATTTGCAAGGAAACCCGGTTCCCCGCCAGCTACTGCCTCAGATTTAGGGTTGCACCTGCGCGCCACCGCGGCGGGTCCAGGTTACGCGTGGAAGCGGGTTCCCGCGCCAGGCACAGATGAAGGAAGCGTCTTCCCCCACGTCCACGGACACGGGCTCAGGCTTTGCCTGTAGAATCGGCCCAACTGGACGAGGGAGACGAGGGGTCACATGGCCAGGGCGGAATGCAGCCCCTGACCCAGGATCAGCCCCACAGAAACACGACACCCTCTAGGGCGCAAGAATAAACCCCAAGTTCACACGCTCCTCCTCCTCCTAATAATCCACGCCCACTCTCCCGGCCCCGCCCCTCCAGGTGCCGCCCCAACAGCCCTGAAAGTCACGCCCACATTTGATCACACCCACAGCCCTGCCCACGCTCACACAGCACATCCAGCGCAGTGGTGCGGTTGGCGCTACCCACGGCGTTGCTGACCTCGCAGGAAACTGGCTCAGTTAGGAACGAGGCATCTGCCACGACCTCCAACCTTGGCCCGCGGGCCCCGAGCACCGGGGAGCCCCCTTTTGCCCACCTGAGGAAGTGGTGGCGCAGTTAGTGTTGTCCCTGCTCTCCGGCACACCTACTCTGGTCCCAGCCCTTCCCAAGCTCATCTTGGGGCTGGGGAGAGGTGGTCTTCATCCTCACCTGTAGCCTGTGACAGGAGGCTGGGCTGTGGCATGGCACAGGAAAGTGACCTTCTCTCCCTCCTGTACAGTGTGTGGCTCAGCAGACAGAGTCACCTTTGGGGGATCTGTGAGGGTGGAACGATGGTCAGGACCAGGAACACCTCTGTCACTGGCCTAGGGGTCCAGTCCCTAGTTCCTCCACCCCAGGAGTCTGGGCCCCTAGTCCTCTTCTCCCTTTGAGCCAGGAGTCTAGGCTTTCAGTTGCAAGTTCCTCCAGGTACCCCAATGTGCCAGCCTTCTGTCCTCTCCTACTCTCCCAGATGTGGGAGTCCAGGCCCAGCTTCCTCTTTCTCCAGGGACCCCAGCCATCTGTCCTCTCCTGCTCAGAGTCTCACTCTGTCACCAAGGCTGAAGTGCAGTGGCACTATCTTGGCTCACTGCAACCTCTGCTTCCCAGGTACAAGTGATTCTCCTGCCTCAGCCTCCCACGTAGCTAGGATTACAGGCATGTGCTACCTCGCCCAGCTAATTTTTGTATTTTTAGTAGAGATGGGATTTCAACATATTAGCCAGACTGGTCTCAAACTCCTGACCTCAGGTGATCCGCCCACTGTGACCTTTCAAAGTGCTGGGAATACAGGCATGAGCCACCATACTCGGTCCTCTCCTGCTCTTTTAGATCCAGGAGTCCTGGCTCCAGTTTCCTGGTTCCCCAGGGACCACAGTCCCCTCCTTCCTCATACCCAGGAGTCAGGGCCCCACACCCCTCTTTCCCAGGGCCGGCTGCACTCACACTGCAGGCTCAGTGTGATAGCTGTGTCCCTCCCCTCGGGCAGGGCCTGGCTCCAGGCCCTGCAGACCAAGGTGGCTCCATCATCATGGCTGGAAGGAGTCAGGGTTAAGGTGCTCTCCACTGCCTCAGGGGTCCCTTCCTTCAGCAGGGTCTGGAGGGATGGAGAACAATAGTAATACCATCTACCCCTTATATCAGGGGTGTCCAATCTCTTGGCTTCCTTGAACCACATTGGAAGAAGAATTGTCTTGGGCCACACATACTAACACTAATGATATCTGATGAGCTAAAAAATTACAAAAAGTCTCATAACGTTTTAAGAAAGCTTACCAATTTGTGTTGGGCCACATGTGGGAGTCCAGACCCATGGGCCACAGGTTGGACAAACTTGCCTTACTTATATAGTGCTCACTATGTGTTGGGCACTCTTCTGGGCATTTATGGGAATTTATTTAATTCTCACAATACCCTATGACATGCATGCTATTATTATCCCGATTGTATAGATAAGGCAACTGAGGCACAGAGAGGTTAACTAACTTAATAGATCAATGAACTAGCAAGTAGCTGAGCCATGATTTGAACCCAGGTGGTCTGGCCCTAGAATCTTTCCCCTGTATCATATTCCAAAAGTCCAAACCCTTGAACCCCTGCCCTCCCATGTCTTCTTCTCCTCTGGATGAGCCTGTGGTCAGAGTGGACCCCAAGTTTCCCTGAATGGGCAAAGGCTAGCACAGGAATTTGGACCTGACCTGATGGAAGGTGATTCCATCTAACCGGACCCCATCTCGGAACCACAGCAATTCAGGGGTAGGACGGGCATTCCCATGGCTCCGACATGTCAGGTTCGCAGGAATTCCAGCAACCAGAGACACAGAGGGGCCGCCCAGCACCTGGGGGGCTTCTGGGGGAACTGCAAGGTGGATTTGGGGTCAGAGATGGATCCTGATCTTCTCAGCTCCAATTGACCACTCCCATGGGCTCCCTGGGTCTGATACTCCCAGCTAGTACTGGCTGCCCCCTTGGGCTCCCAGGGGACAAATGCGCGAGGTCCTCACCCAGCACGTGCAGTTGGGCTGGTCTTGAGCGGAGGCCTGCTTGGGTAGCCTGACATTCATATGATGCTTCATCCTCTAGCTCCACAGGCCTAATATGGAGGTCATGCTGGCCTTTGGCTGTGTTCCCTGATATCCAGTACCGGGACCACCCTGGAGTCAGGGAGGATGCGGTCAGCATGCCATGGTTCTGTGATCCTGGCCTCAGGCCTCCAACCCCTAGCATCCCCCATTGGAAAACTGGCCCACACCCTTGGTGGTGAGACACTATTAGAAACTGTGTACTGGGCCCAGAGAAGCTCTAACTTCCTCCTAACCTAGAGTCACTGCAAACTTGGGGGTAATAAAGTCAGAAAGGAAAGCAAGAAAATGATTGCCATAAAAGTTAGGTTAGATACTGCTTCTGGAGTGAGGGAGAGGCGTGCTATGACAGGGGACAGGAATATTTCTGGGGAGCTTCTGGGGAGCTAGCAGTGGACTTGAGTATTGGCTGTGTGAGTGTCTTTTATTTGTTTACTGTACTTTTTGGCATTTATGTTTTCTCTCTCTCTCTCTCCTTCTCCCCTTCTCTCTCTCTTTCTCTCTTTCTTTCCACAGATCTCACCATTGCCTGGAGTGCAGTGGCTTTAGCATGGCCACAGTAATGAGCCATTTGATGAGCAATGGTGAGACCCTGCAGTGGCTTGACCATGTAGCCTTGAACTCCTGGGCTCAAGCAAGCCTCCCACTTCAGCCTCCCGACTAGGACTACAGATGCACACCACCGCGCCTGGCTAATTTGTTTAAAAAAAAAAAAAAACGCACACACGCACGCACACACACACACACACACACACACACTCACACAGAGAGTAGAGATAAGGTCTTGCTATGTTGCCCAGACTGGTCTCAAACTCCTGGCTTCAAGTGACCCTCTGGCCTCAGCCTCCCAAAGCGCTGGGATTACAGGTGTGAGCCACCGCACGTGGCCTATGTACTATTTCACAATAACATGATAATTCTCAAACTCTATGGGTCACCCCCAAAGAAACAGCTCAAAAATGTGGAGTTCTAAATGTTTACCCGAGCCCATCCATTTCCCAAACTTGAAAATGTCAAAATAGAAACTTCAGATACAGCCGAGCCTAGGACCTCCACTCCTAGCCGGCCCGTCCCAGCGTGGAGAGAACAGCCTTACCTGGCAGGTCGCGTTGGCCCCCTAGGGCCAGCCCACTCTTAGTCCACTGGACCAGCCCCCAGTAGGCGCCCAGAGCGCACGGCAGCCGGGCTTCCTCCCCCAGCAGCACCACCAGGTCCTCCGGCTGTTGCAGGAAATGGGGCGACGGGCCTAGGAGAATGGAGGGGGCAGCAGGGCTGAGCCTAGCACCTTCTAGAGCCCCCTCATTCAGGATCCAGGAGTCCCAGCCCCAGCCCCATTCTCCCTAGTGAAGTGGCAGTCCGCAAGCAACCCCTCCCCACACCCCATATTCCTCCGCTCCCCTCGCGAGGTACCTGCACGCCCTCTGAAGCAGATGAGGAGGATGAGGAGGGCGGGGCCCCGCATCCTGAGCGTGTGTCTCCCAAGGTTCACGAGGTTTGCCGTCGTACGGGCCTCCCTGCCAAGTTCTTTTTCAGAAGCACACCTCCTGTCACCCTGGTCTGGAGCCCCCTTCGCGCTCGACTCTTCTCCCCAGCCTAGAGAGCCCCTGTCTCTAGCCTTGGAGTCCTCCAAGGCTGCTCATCTGCAGCCTCTGACGCTCTGTAACGCTTGCCAGTTCCGCGCCCTGGGTCTCTGGGAGACCCCAAGAGGGCCAGATCCCGCTCGCCCCGCCCCGATCCGCCCCCCGGAGCTCCGCCCTCTTCCCATTGAGAAACCCTCGAGGCCGGACGGAATGAATGGAGGACGCAGGGCGGGGTCCCCGGCGGGAGGGCGACCCCAGCTCAATTGGGGTCTGGGAGCCGGAACACCTGGATTCGAGGAGGGGGTCCCGGCTGGGTTGGACACCTGCGCCCTGCCGGGGTTTGGGGGCAGGCATGGGGGTGAGGAGGAGGGAAGGGAGAGAGTGGAAGAAACTTGCTCAGCCCAGGTCCTGGAGGGACTGCGCTCAGTGGAAACCGAGCTATAAATGGGAGCCCCTGGGGCCTCGCCAGTATCCGCGTCCTGGGGGAGGCGGGATCCGGGGCTCCCCCGGGCCTGCGGATCGGGAAGAGGGCATGCCAGTGCCTGGGGGACAGCTGGGACCCCTGTTTCGACTCCCCCAGCCTCAAAATCCCTCCTCAAAATATCCCTCTGTTCCCTTGTAACTGCTGCAAACTGCAGCGTGTCCTAAGACCCAGGAATCCAGGCCCCCAGCCCCTCCTTTCCCAGGACCCTGCAGTCCCGACCCAGCCCCTCTCCCCACTGGGCCTGCCGGGCCCCTCGGCCTGGTTGCCGGGCGACGGCTGGGAGGCGGCGGTGCCGGGCCGGGGCAGGCAGGGAGTCTGGGAACCGCGCAGCTTGTCCTGACGGCTCCATGCAGCCCAGCTGGGGCGTTCCCACGCTGCGCAGCTGGCCGAGCAGGTGGGAGGGACCCCGAGCAGCCTGAAGGAGGGCTGGGGGGCTGGGACCCTGCTCTGACATTCCTGGACCCGTAGGAACTGGGGGGTCCACATTCAGATTCTTGGCTGTTCTTGGGCTCAAACTCTTGCGTCCCTAAATGGCGGGGTGGGGTTGGGGGTGGGGTTGGACTTACAGGATTGTAAGGGACTGGTGGTTTAGGCCTTTGCTGGCTGAGACACTGATGGCCTGATCTTCTGGTTCCTTGAGAGGCTGGAGACTCAGTTCCTAGGTCTCCTGCCTGCAGCATGGTGCACTTGGAAGAGGGTGACAGGGGTCAGAATATCTGGTCTTAAGTCTTAGAGTCAGTGGATTTAACCACCAGTCTCTCCCCACCCCCACACAGGCCCAGGAGGATTTGGAAATCAGACGGTGAACATCTGTCCTAAGTCCTCTGTGTGTGTGTGTGTGTGTGTGTGTGTGTAGGAGGAGGTGTGGGGGCTGGTAGGGTGGGCAGAAGGATCAGAGGCCCAAATTCCTGAGTCCTTGGAGAGAAGGGACTGAGATCCCAGGGTCTGAGAAGGGAGGGATCTGGAGGCCTATACTCCTGGCTTCTATGTGGCATATCTAGTGCCTGGATTTTGAAATAGGATGAACATGGGGCCAGAACTCCTGAGTCCTGGGGAGGAACCCAAGTAGTCGGGCTGTTTTTCCAGACACTTGACACTGCTTCCCCTTCCTGTCTCTCTAGGGCTCTGGGCATGAAAAAATGGAGAACCCAAAGTCCCAGGAGCATTCGAAGAAGGAAAACAGCCAAGGTGGAGGGTGGAAGCTTTGTGCTAATTAAAGGTTCCAGCAAGGGACAGCTCCACACTCTGGCCCCTAGGGACACCATCTGGTGAGGGCCCCCAGGACAGAGCCGCCCCCGCAGCTCAGCTGGGCACCCAGCCCATTTCCCAGGGGGTGTAAGGGGCAGTTGGGAGAGGGGAGGTGGGAGGAGGGCAAGGAGTCGAGCATGTGAGGGAAGAGGGAAGGGCAGCATCAAGGATGAAGCTGGGGGCTCAAGCCAGATGCTTCACCTGGTTTCTGGGGAATGAGATGGGGCAGGAGATCTCAGGGAGGCGGGGAGAAAACTAGCATTTCCAATTCCTGCAGGAGATAAGCAGGCAGAAGAAGCTTATCCGAGGCGAGTGTATGTGCGTGCAGGGAGGGCAAGCCCGCCAGCATATGGTTATACAATTCAGGGATGTGATGAGCAGAGCCACTTGGAGATGGAGAGACATGTAAGAGAAAGAGGAGCGGTCAGTGTGGCTAAGAACAAATATTTATGGAGCTCCTGGTGTGTGTGAGACAGAGTTTGGGGTGAGGGGAGTGACAGAGGTGAGAACAGACAGAGAAACAGAAGAACAGAGACATGTAGAGACAGAGAGACACAGTGGAATAAAGAGTGACTGAGATTTAACCGCTTAATACAGAGAGTTTCAAACAGACGGAGAAAGATAGAAAGATAAATTGGCCGGGCGCGATGGCTCACACCTATAATCCCAGCACTTTGGGAGGCCGAGGCAGGCAGATCACCTGCAGTCAGGAGTTCAAGACCAGCCTGACCAACATGGTGAAACCCCGTCTCTACTAAAAACACAAAAAAATTAGCCGGGCATAGTGGCGAATGCTTGTAATCCTAGCTACTCAAGAGGCTGAGGCAGTAGAATTGCTTGAACCCTGGAGGCAGAGGTTGCAGTCAGCTGAAATTGCACCATTGCACTCCAGCCTGGGCAACAAGAGCAAAACTCCGCCTAAAAATAAATAAATAAATAAAAATAAAAGAAAGACAAGCCAAGGGCTGGGTGCAGTGGCTTATGCCTGTAATCCCAGTACTTGGAGAGGCAGAGATGGGAGGATTGCTTGAGCCCAGGAGTTCCAGGCTACCCTGGCAACACAGCAAGACCCTGTCTCTACAAAAGCATTTTAAAAATTAGCCAGAGTGGTGATTGGGACATGTAGTCCCAGATACTGAGGAGGCTAAGGAGGAAAAAACACTTGAGCCCGGGAGGTTGAGGCTGCAGTGAGCCATGATCACACCACTGCACTCCAGCCTGGGCAACAGAGCAAGACCCTGTCTCTACAAAATAATTTTTTTTTAACCAGCTACTCAGGAAGCTGAGGCAGGAGGATCGCTTGAGCCCATTAAGTTGGGGCTGCAGTGAGCCATGATCATGCCACTGCCCTCCAGCCTGGGCAACAGACCAAGATCCCATCTCAAAAGAAAGAAAGATAGGCCAGGCACGGCGGCTCACGCCTGTAATTCCAGCACTTTGAGAGACCGAGGCGGGCGGATCACGAGGTCAGGAGCTCAAGACCAGACTGGCCAACAGGATGAAACCCTGTCTCTACAAAAAAAAAAAAAAAGAAAGATAAATCAAGATGGACAGAGGGAGGGATATATATATACATATATACATATACACACACACACACACACACACACACACACATATATGTATAAAGAAGAAAAGAAGAGATGGGGGAGAGGGCAAGAAAAAGAGACAGAAGAAAGCTCACACAGTCCTTGCCAAAGGGCACCCACTCTGGGCTCACGCTGCACCCACACTGCGGGCTGGCAGACTTGGACTCTGCCTCTTACTCCTGCCCACACCCCGTGCAATCCCACTTGAGACACTGTCACGTGCACAATCTCCACGTGCTTATTACGGATCACGATTCACTCTCACCTTCCCCACTCTCACACCCCTGTGCACACGCAGTTACTTTCCCTCTCCCACACGCTCCCAGCCTCTCATGCTCACTCTTGCATACTCCCCAGCAGAGATCCCTGACGTCATTGAAGCGCTGATGTCTACTCAAGAAGGGAAGGAAGGCTGGGCGCGGTGGCTCACGCCTGTAGTCCCAGCACTTTGAGAGGCCGAGGTGGGCAGATCACCTGAGGTCAGGAGTTCCAGACCAGCCTGGACAACGTGGCAAAATCCCGTCTCTACTAAAAATACAAAAATTAGCTGGGCATGGTGGCATGTGCCTATAATCCCAGCTACTCGGGAGGCTGAGGCAGGAGAATTGCTTGAACCTGGGAGGTGGAGGTTGCAGTGAGCCAAGATCATACCACTGAACTCCAGCCTGAGCAACAGAGCAAGACTATCTCAAGAAAAAAAATAAAAAATAAAAAATAGAAAGAAAGGAAGAAAGGGACTTGCCAAGGTCATGTATCAAGGCAGGGAAGAGCTGAGAGCCCAGCTGGCTGCTCCCCTCTGAGCTGGGAGACCACCCAAATCTGACCTCTCCCGTTTTCCCAGCCTAAGCCAGGACTTGGGTCATGGAGGCTGGGGAGGCACCGAGGAATGCGCCTGGCATGTGCTGACAGGGGATTTCCCGCTCCAGCCCGGATGGGAGGAGCCTGCTGGACAGAGGCTGGATCTGGGAGCTCTGGAGGGCACGTGGGGGAGGCTGTGCTCTGAGGATGAGCTCACACTGGGTCAGAGAGCAGGGCCGACTCTGCCAGTGCCTGCATCAGCCTCATCGCTTTCCTGGGCTCCTGAGGCCTGTTGGACTCTGGGCCATGGGTCCTTCTTGAGGGGCTGTGAGTAGTGAGACAAGAAGCAGGGGTGAGGGGTGGCAGGAGAGAAGATAGAGACTCAGAGAGAGACAGAGACAGGAAAAGACAGAGACGAAGGGGGAGAAAACGCCTTAGACGGGGAGAGAAAGGTGGAAAGATAAAGAGACAGGCTGGGCGAGGTGGCTCATCCCTGTAATCCCAGCACTTGGGGAGGCCAAGGCAGGAGGATGGCTTGAGGCTGAGTTCAAGACCAACCTGCCCAACGTAGCTAGACTCTGTCTCTAAAAAAAGAAAAAACGGTTTTTAAAGAGACAGAGAAAGAGACCTAGAGATTGAGACTGACAGCGAGGCAGAGATAGAGAGACACTCACGGGGGAGAGGAAAACAGAGAGACAGGGAGGAGAGTGACGGAAAGAGAGATAAGAAAGGCAGGAGGCAGAGACACAGAGAGAAGGGCCCAGAGGAAGCCGGAGACAGACTCAGGTGGCTGGCAGAGGGCACCTTTGGGGCCACCGTAGGGGGACTGGCGATGGCCCAAGGGACGCTGCTCAGGGCTCCTCTGCTGCTCCTGGAGCTGCTGACTGCAGGTGAGTGGAATCTCAGCCTTGTACCCAGTGCCGAGTGGCCCCCATTTCCCACTTGCCTTCCCTAGATAGACCCTCTGCCCTTTCCTCGCACCCCACTGTGTCCCCAGGCCTGGCACAGTTGGCAATTCCTGCCTCTGTTCCCCGGGGCTTCTGGGCCCTGCCCGAAAACCTGACGGTGGTGGAGGGGGCCTCAGTGGAGCTGCAGTGCGGGGTCAGCACCCCTGGCAGTGCGGTGCAGTGGGCCAAAGATGGGCTGCTCCTGGGCCCCGACCCCAGGATCCCAGGCTTCCCGAGGTACCGCCTGGAAGGGGACCCTGCTAAAGGTAAGAGATCAGAGCCTGAGACCCTCAGCCACCAGCGGAGGCTGTGGCCATGACCTCAGGCTCCCCCTGCAGGCGAATTCCACCTGCACATCGAGGCCTGTGACCTCAGCGATGATGCCCAGTATGAGTGCCAGGTTGGCCGCTCCGAGACAGGGCCCGAGCTCCTGTCTCCCAGAGTGATCCTCTCCATCTTGGGTATGGGTGAGAGACCCCCAGGACCCACGAGTCTGGGCTTCCAGCCCTATCCTACCCCAGGACCCAGGAGTCCAAGCCCCCAGCCTCTCCTCTCCCAGCCCCTGGGTACCGAACTCCAATCCTCAAATCCTTCTCAGTGCTGGAAGCTTACCCCAGACCCTTCTCACTAGTTCCCCCCAAGGTGCTCCAGCTGACCCCAGAGGCAGGCACTCTGGTCACCTGGGTAGCTGGGCAGGAGTATGTGGTCAGCTGTGTGTCTGGGGACGCGAAGCCAGCGCCTGACATCACCATTCTCCTGAGTGAGTGCGGGTGAACGGGGCAGCAGGGGGCAGCAAGAAGCCTCTGGAATGGCGACAGGGTGCGTTTCTAACCAGTGCCCTTCTGAGGGCCCCAGAAACGACATCATCCCTGAGATGGGGACCCAGGAGCAGGTATGGGGAGATGTTGAGGCCAGCATGGGACCCGGTGGATGGGAGGGTACATCGAGGGGTCAGCATCCAGCACAAGGCTGAGGCCCAGATAGAGATATGGGCAGACGCGCTGGTGCAGACATGAGAAGCTGAGGGATAGGGTACATGGCACAACTCACAAGGAGTTGACAAGAGAGAGGAGACCCAGAACCCAGCACTGAAGACTGGGATTCAGGCTGTCCAGAAAGTCGGGAGGGGATGCAGCTA